TCTTAGAGTACTGTGATTCAGTTTGTCTTTCTGATGGCCTCTTTCCTGCTGCTGCAATTCAACTGATACATGTTTTTAAAAGCATATTAATTTGCATATTTTTATTGTTGTTTGATTTTTATGTATACATATTAAAGTACAAGCTCTCTCTCKGAAGGAAAAAGGGACACAGAAAGGTCTCCAGTCTAGCGAGCACTAAGAATTCAGAGGTTTTGTTTCCAGCTGGGCAACAAATTCTTGTGTGATTTTAGTCAACATGATTAACCTCATGATAATGCAAAATGGGGACAGGGAACAGCATGTACCAGTCATAGGTAAAACTAGCGAAACACAGGAAGTTCTGCAAAGGGTTTAGGGTTCTTTGATAGGTAGATACTGTGTATCTACCGGATACACTGGATCAGGCAGAGTAGGGAAATGGTCAGACCAAAAAGCTAGAGTTAAAAAACAATGGAAGAAGGAAAAAGAAAAAATATGAGATAAAAAGAGATGAGTGGGGTGATGGAACCAGTTGTGATCATTGGGAGGTTATAATTATAAAAGATGTGGTCCCGTTTAGTGTTAATATGGCAAGAGAAGTACACTAGGATGAATGTGTTGTCTATATACTTCTAAAGTGGTGAAGGCAAAGACTTTTCTGAACCTTGGGAATCCACTATGCTGATCAGCTTTCGTCAAAGTTCAAGGAAAATACCAGTGAAATAATATGTGAAAGTAAAAGAGGAAATATTTTCTTCAATGCATATGTTACAGCTTTCATTTTGTGCTACAAGTTATCATTAAAAAAATAATAATGTGAAGGAGAACATCATTCTGTAAGAGGTATAGGCAAGCTAAGGTCACATTTAAGAAGTGTGTTTCAAAGTGATGTGTACTGCTTGGGATAAATTTTCTCTTCTCCCTACTCCAATGAATCTTCTATTTGCTAATTCAGGCATCTAGAATTGGCTGATAAACATCAATTAAGCTGTCTTTTGGGATTTTTCTTTTTTTTTCTTGTTGTTGTTATTGGGTTTGGGTTATTTTATCTAACCTTGGGCACCGTGGTTTTGGTTATACTTTATAAATATTCACTTTGCACACCACCTTTTATGCATAGAAACATAATATATTCTGAAATAATGTCTCAGTATCCAAATGATGTTTCAATCAATATTCTTATTCAATTAAAAAAAGTACATTTTAACTTTTATTTCCTAACTCATTCTCCAATGTTAAAAAAAAAAAGACAACAAACTGTAACAATCTGAGTGCTTTAATCTGCCACGTTTTAGATGGCTATAAGCGTTTGCGTTTACTGCTGCTGAACAAGACATATGGAAGTTTTTTGCTATCATAAAAAGTTGATAATTTTCAGTTAAAAGATGGATTAGAGATGCAATGATTGATAATTTCCTGAGTGTAGGGTGAATGTGGAAAAGAAAGTATACAAAATAGAGCTGATTTTCTATAGGAAATAGTTATATAATGTTAAACCACTTGAGAGGCTTAGTTAAAAAGCTTATCTAGTTGCAATGTTTAGCAGAAATCAGTCTGTGGTATTCTGAAACACTACTCAGTTGAGCAGTCTTAGACTCTACTGATCATGAATGGAGACTTTTTCTACTAATAACTGGAAATCGATTGCAAGTTTCTCTGTCTTACAAAACAGTTAAAATCACATTGGTGGGTGGTTTGTCATTATGTTGATAAAACCTCTGCATGCATCCAAAGCCTTGAAACTGAGGGTTTGTCTGAAAACCCCTTGGATAGAGTCTATTTGTTCTCCAGTTCAAATGGCACTACCCAGGAAAGCAATTGTCCCACGCGCTGAGCAACGTCAGTTCCGATTAACTTCAGTTTAACTGAAGGGGCACAGCCCTTCTTCGGAGACGCACAGTAGTGTCAGCACGGATTCTTAAGCTGAAATTCAGTTCTTTGCAGAAGGTCTGCACAAAGCCTGTGTATCATTTAAGTGCCACTTAATTCTTTATAATGGAGCTCGGAGTGGATTTGAAGAAGCTGATAGGCTTTTTGCTCTTTTGTCTGCTGAGGGCTGAATTACACCCCTGGTGAATATACACAGTAAAAAGGCAAYGACACTGCCTCAGGAAATACACTATATTCCTTTGCTTTGACTAGTGTAACTCAGTTTCAGTTACTGATGGAAATTCTTTGATATTATGTTGATAAAATCGTTGTACATTTTGCTCTGTTCTGGTAGTATACATTGAGCTTTACTCTCATACTCTGGTACAGCGTGCAAACAGGAAAGTGAAAATGAAAAAACAGATKTAGTCTTGCAGACAGGAACAGGGCCTCACTGTGTTAGTGAGGATCCTGAAGCAAAGTGAGGGGTGGATGGAGAAGCAGAATCAAAGGAACATGAAAACCTGCAACAGGAAAGAGATCCCTGCGATTCGCAGGATAGGGAATGGGCGTGGGGGCTGAGGAGGCGCCATTTCAATACTGATTAACTTTAAACCATGTGAGCTGAGTAGCTTTTCCCTGCAAAAGAAGTTCTGACTCTCGGGGCCTGAATTCGTGAGCTGTACAGAGCACGGAAATGTTTTAGACTACAGTTTTGCAAAATACTCTTGKTATGTTTTAAATTTTTGCAGATATAGCCAATATCCAGAGCAAGGACCCCATGGATTTGTGATAATACTGATAGCAACCAAGAAAACACTGAGAGTTATTCAGAGAGGCTTTTTTTTTAAAATAAGATTACTTCAAATTACATTTCCAGGAAAACCTCCTAGCTGAGATAGTAAAGGCAGTGTAATATATATTTCTGAGTTTAGCTGACTATTCAGTTTTTCGCTGATCCTTCATATTGTTGAAACATTGATAGAAATAGCCGTTTTAAATATGTGAATATGAAAAATATGCATGCAAGTAGGTCAATGGTGTTAACATTTCACTGAGATKTTTCTGATAAGCCTGCAACAGGATGCATGCCTTCACTGAGAAAAGGATGAAGCTATTATCTGTTACAGAGGAGGTGTTAGTCTCAAAAATTGTTATGATCCAGTTGTCAGTAGAGCAGTACCTCTGGTGTCCAAGCACAGTCTAGATTTCTGTATATTATGTGCTGTAAAAACCTAGTAAAATTGCTATATATTGCCTAATGAACAGTACAAATTCCTATGTAGACATTTGGGAGCT